CTTTGTGTGACTCAGGGCCAAAGGGAGAGTTCGGGCTCCTCGTAGGGAGTTCGAGCTCTAAGTAGGGAGTTCGGGCCCCTTGTAGGGAGTTCGGGCTCCTCGTAGGGAGTTCGAGCTCTAAGTAGGGAGTTCGGACCGCTGGTCTCTTCCCTTTGGTGTTTGTACCCTCAGTACACTGTTTTAAGTGCCGAGCTACTTATTTTCTGCCACGTGGCGTGATTTGCGAGGTCGGGCCAAATCTTCCTTCATCACCATTCATTCCGTCCCCCTTCCGGGTTGGGTAGCCACAGTACTACAAATAGGGTCATGATGAATCTAAGTGCAATTTGAAGAAAAAGAAAGAAAATCTAAAGGATTCGAACAAGGCTCTTGCGCAAGAGAAGGCTCAGACCCAAAAACCCCCACCAGTTATTCGATCTGAGTTTCGACCAACTAGAAGACTGTTTGAGTCTTCTATTCACAATACTAATATTCTTACTACAGATTTGGAAGTTGAAGTTGATCATTCCTCTCTCCTAGAACCTGTAATTGAACCTGAAGAGCAGTCCTTAAGAACAGAAAGTTGTGACCAGCAATTGTTGGAAGCTTTGATGAATAATCCAGATCAAAGGTCTTTCAATTCCGGTTTGAAAGATGATATTATTATATAGTTGGAAGGACGGAGAAAAGGACTGCCGGTGGTTCAGAAAGAAAGCCTTCTTGGGATGATTCTGGCATGGATTTTGCATATTTGAGGAGATCTAAAGCAGATTCCAATGCTCCCTTTAGTAGAAGGCCAACCACAAAGAATCTGGCTTCTCCTACTCTGGACGATCAGCCTTTGTTTGTTTCTTGCGATCTTTCAAACCCAGAAGCTCCGAGAAATAGAGATGAAAGTGATAATCCTGATGGATTCCAAATGGTGATTAGGAAGAAAAATAAAAAGATTTAACCTGAAAAAGTGGGACCCCGCATGCTTACTAGATCGCAATCACAACAAGGTATGATCTGATCCTTTGTTAATTAATGAATGGTTTAGTTTGGAATATTAGAGGATTAAATAATCCTCATTCCCTGAGAAGGCTTAAGCAACTCATTAGGTTACACTTGATTAGTTTGTTAGCTATTATGGAGTCGATGGCTACAGTTTCTGCTTTGGATTCAATAGCTACCCGAATCCAAGCTTTGGGTAGATGTAGTAACAACAATTTCAATAATAAAATTTTGGGAGAATGGTAATTCAGCCTATGGTCAGAATTTTTAGGTTCAAAGTACATTTGGGATAGGTATCAGCTCGGAATTAATGCTAATTCACTGGTGGAATGTACATTGATGTATAAAATGAGGGTATTTGACATTTTAAATGTTTTTACGGTGGGATTCAGAAATCTGTATTGGACCTGTCTGTACTTCTCTATAAAATTTTTTGTATTTACTGGTGGGATGGTTTTACGGTCGCTCTTCTTTATGAATCTGACCGACTTTGTTAGTTTTGGTTACTTTAATGTCTGGAGACTACTTTGTTTTGCCCGTTGTGTATGCCAAATGTGATAGGATGGAGAGAACGTCACTCTGAATGGAGCTGGCCTCTTTATCTGCGAGTATAACTTTACATTGGGATGTGGCTAGTGATTTTAATGCTATTCTTCATCCAAATGAAAAATCTAGGGGTAGAGAACCTGATCCGTTATTCTCTGGCAGCCTATTTACTTGGTGTAATAATAGAGAAGGTACGGAGTGTGTTTAGGCTCGGTTGGACGGTATCCTTGTTAATACTCAGTGGTTTCAACATTTTCCTATTTATTTAAAATAGATTGTGCTCAGGTCACTCTCTGATTGTTTTCTCTATTGTGGTAAGCTCTCTTAAGGGTGTTAAACCTTTTCGGTTTCAACAAATGGGCTGTTTGGGAAGTCCATAATATGGTCCAAAACTTTAAGACTTTTCCTATTTATTTTGAAGGAGATTCTCTTTTAGTTATTTCGTGCTTGAAGAACTGGTCCGTCATTCTGTGGAGGCTGAAGAACATCATTAGAGAGTGTAGGAGATTAGCAGATAATCTGGATCGGAGTTAACGCCCATTCCTTCGGAGAGGCAAGACTCTCTTTTCTTTTGTTTTCCCTCCCTTCCTTTGGACTTAATGATCATCTGTAAAAGTGACTCGTGGGGCCAAGCTACCCTGTCTTGTATAACTCCTCCTGTTTAAGTTGTTGTCGCTTGCTCTTGAACATTCGAATGGAGAAGATGATAAGGTTCTATCATCCTTTAAAGAAGGGTCAATAATCTCTTATAAGCAATTCAAAAAAAAAAGCCATCCATTTTATTTTTCAAGGACTTATTCACTTATTATGGACTTGTTTTGTCAAATGGAAATAGACACTTGGGTGAAAAAGAAAAATCGAACCGACAGAAATTGAACAAAAAATTTGGTTAATCAAACCAATTAGTTCTGTATTTTAAAAATTCAAAGGTATCGATTCAATTTTGATTAATCAAAATGGAAAACTGGCAGTTAGTCGAACTGATCAGTATACATATATAATATATATTTGTGTATATTATATAATATATATATATATATATATATATATATTGTATTTTTTATATATTATAAATTAATAAATATGTATTAAATATAAATATATTATAATATATAATATATTATTTATTATTTAAAATATAATATTTTATACATATTTCTAGTGTTTTATTATATATTTATATATTTTTATAATATATATATATTATAAATAATAAAAAACCCTATTAACCGAACCGRTCAATCGATTAACCAATCGGCTTCGGTCGATAACCCCGGTTCCAGCACTTATCTATTGTTTTCTAGCACTTAAAAATGTGATATTAAAGAAGTATTTACTTTAAATGAGGAGCGAAGATTCTACTGTAAAAAAAAAAAAATGCTCTCCTAAATTTTTATCAAAAAGAAAAAAGGAAGATGCTCTCCTAAGTACTTTACCTTTGCTGCTTTACATTCTCGTCCGAGTGTGTCGATTCTCGCACAGTCGCACCTCTCTGCAATTGCATTTGCTTTGAAGTTCAAACTCGCTTTGGTAATGGCGATTACAAAAGAAGCCACACCGCCTCCGATGATCGGTAAAGTTGGGAGGTACACTGTGTTCATCACTCCTCCAGCGACCCCAAAACCCACTTTCAGCCCTTCAGCCACTCCAAGAGCCCCTCTTACTCCTCTGGCCACTTCGAAACCCTCTGAGCCACCTGTCGAGTCGCCGAAGATTCCGTCTCCGAAAAAGGTGGTTCTACCCCCGGTTCAGCCTCTGCCGCAGCAGTTCGAAAAGTCTCGGACGACGAGGAATTCGTCTGTGGTTGGTTTCTTCTCGGATGCCATTGTTAAAGTGCAAAATGGTAACTGTTTGTGTTGTTAGGGTTTAAATTTAGTGAATCGTTTGGTGTTTAGAGGTTTTCGTTGACGATTTGGGGTTTCTGCGACAGCACATTCGAGCTTAGATAAATATTTGGCGGACTGGTTCGGGTTGAACCAGTCGAAGTATCAATGGGCATTGAACGATTACTATGAAACCAAGGGAATGGTGAGTTTTCTTCAGTTTCCCCGCCCTTAAATTTTACTTTTGTATGGCAGTTTCTGGTTTGATTTTTTGTTCTTATTCGTGAATTGTCTTCGGAGCTCATTTATGTTGATTTCATGCGTTTTACTTGTTAATCCTTAACCAGAGTCAAATTATGTACAATCTGGACTCTAATTTTTGTTGTGTTTATAAAATCTTATCGGTAGAGTTGGTTGGTCGTTTCGTAAGGTACGACTATCCTTCGAAGTGAAGGAATAAGGGAAATAACTTATAAGTAACTGCATGTCGTTTTCAATGCAATGCTTAGTCATTGAACTTTAGAACGTTAAAGATTTGATTATTTGAATCACCGAATTAGTCTCGAATGTTTAGTTTGGCCAAGAAAATTGCAAATATAGTAATATGCCTTCAGTACTTTATACTTGATTCTTCTGTCCTACTGTAATAGTTTTTGGAGTTTGGCTAGAAAAGCAATTGACACGTTTGAGAAGTATGTGCTATCTTTTCTTCTCGAGAGCTCTTTGTAGAACATCATGCAGTACCTTGATCCTTTATTACTGAAATATTACATCTATTAATTTGCGCAACAGCAGGTTTCTCTGGAAAAATATCATAAATAGATCAAAACATATGATATATTCAAGCTCCTATGCCATGCTCTGCTGGTCTCTTTAGGTTACACTATAGCCTCCAATTAATCCCAAAAGATCCATGTGATAAATATACTGGACTTGTGATTTGCTTCAGAGGAAAAGACCAAACTGGTGCTTGTCCCCAAGTTGGTGCTTCTTATGTATATTGAATGATGAGGCTGCTTTTCATCTCTTTATCTCTTATCCCTTTGTTGGTTTTATTTGGGAGTGGTTTTCTTCACTTTTTGGTTGCAGGTGGTCCCCTCCTGATAGCTTGGAAGGGTCGTTTAACTATTCTGTTTTCAATTGCTCTAAAAGGAGGGACTATTATGGAGATGTATTAGGGCAATGGTGGTTTGGACAATTTGGGAAGAAAGGGACTTAACAATTTTTTAAGACACTTTCATAGAGGCTTGAAGAAAGGAACTTAAGAAAGGGGCGAATAAACTTTCATAGAGGTCATAACTTTAAGGGTGGCAAGTCAAAGAATTGGGTATTGAAAGACCAGTCATTGAAGGTGACTCGAAAACAGTTACGGGTTGGTTGAGAAAAGGGGAAGGGGTAATTTGGCAATTAAGAAATGAGTTCAGATGTTTCAAATGGTTGCCAAAAGATATGATGATCCAAATAAATTGGGCTAGGAGATCTGCAAATAGTCTGGCTGATGGTTTAGAAGCAAGGGGTTCAGAGGCAATCTATGTTTTGGGTCCAATTGTAATACCTAGGATGGATTAGCTCCCTTGTTTTTGTCGTTTATTTCAACAACCCCATTAATGAATTAATTTCTGTGTTACTGATCATACACACACACACAGTATTTTTGTACGTGCAAAGCACGTGACAAATTTTGTGATGATGATAGTATATAATATATTTCCAATTTTTTTTTTTATATTTCTACATCTATAAAAATTATTCTTATTTATCACATTTATTATGGTTCATTAATATAAAATATATCCAAATAAAATATTTGTAACGAGAATAAATAAATTTCTTATTATTCTTATTTATTATGGTCCATTAATAAAATCAATAATTTTTATCAATTACCTTCATCAGAATTTTATTTGAATTCCCGTTACCTTTGCAAGAATTAACTTTTATATGATAAATCCAATTTCAGCTCCTTCAACCACTGAAAACCTTACAATGAACTGCTATAAAAAATATCACTTACTTTTGCAGATATCTTGCCATCCAATGATGTGGGCTTTAGGGTAACGGAAATGAAAAATTAAGCCACCATATTGGTGGGAATAAAGAAGAGAAAACCATCTACTACCTTAATCATCAAGAACTGAACCAATGAAAATAGGTAAATAGGTTAAAAATATCTAAAAAAACAAAAAAATAATTTAAAGAATAAATTGCTCATCCATTTACAAGTTGAAAATATCTTCGTGGTGGTTAATGTGGCCCAACATTGGCTATTGAGAACATAAGATGTACTTTCAAGTTTTTCTTTTTTATTTAAATAAATGAATAGGTAAATTGCTAAAACCTCCCGTAAAATTTTTTATCATTACTGAACCCCCCTAAAGTTTGGTAAATGCAATCACCTCTCATGAACTTTTCGACACAGTTGCAAGTAGACCCTCTGCTAGAATCTACTAATGAAAAGCACAAAAATGTTCAAAATACCCATGTAGTTACTTTTGACCAAAATGCTTATTTTCCAAGTTTTTTCTTCATATCAATCACTACTCCAATCCCTTTTAATCTCTTTTTCGGAATTGATGCATTTTCCAATTTTTCCCTTCATATCAATCGCTCAAAGGTAAAATTGCAACTTTAAGCTCTCTATTTTTGTTGTTCATAACATTTATATTGGTTTTTTTATGTATAAACCAGCCTCAATAATCATTACATGGGTATTTTGGACATTTTCATACCTTTTGGACATTTTACAAAGGGGTCTACTTGCAACTATGTCAAGAAGTTTAGGGGAGGTGATTGCAATTACCAAACTTCAGGGGAGGTTTGGGAAATAGYCAAAAACTTCAAGGGAGGTTTGGGCAACAGTCGAAAACTTCAAGGGAGGTTTGTTTTCCAACTATTGAACAAAAAGAAGGATTTGTGTATTTTCCCTAACAAGCATTAAATGGGAATGCTAAATAACATTTTTGCCATTGACTTGTTTTACAATCATGAACAAAAAGATTGGAGTTTTGTGTCTTTTTTGTAATAAGCATTAAATGAGAAAACAAAATTACATATTTACCATTGCTCCTTCTTTGGTTCAAACTTTAGAGATGGGGTATTTTAGTCTAGTGAAAACTTTAGAATCCAACCACATCTATTCGTACTTGTATATATGTATATTTGTTCCAATTATACTTCTCAACAAAGCTATGTTCTATTGATTTCTTTAGGTTATACCTTACTCCTTTGTCTGTTTTAGTTTATTAACAAAGACATTTCAAACTTATTCTTCCAAGTGTTTTAGGATTAAGGAGAACTATAATTGTCAAGGTGATGTTTAGGCAACAAGGCATTGATGGAGGGTGCTATAAAATATTTTAATGTTCTTTATCTTTTTGAAACTATAATAATAAATTAGACATTAATACTCTATTTTTTTATTTTATGGGTCTATGTATTAGTTTCTTTTTATTATTTTCTTATATGTTAGGGTTCAATGGGGGTGGCAAYTTTTGACCTAACCTACATGACCCATCCAAATCCAATCTTCTAAAATGTGGGTTGACTCACCCATTGAGACAAATACAAACGCTTAGATTAGGTTGTGTTATGGGTACCCATCTGGTCAATGCAATAAGTTATGTATGATTGTATATTACCATCTTCTCAATTTTTATTTTCTCTTTCCTCTCTTCTTTCAATTTTCCCTCCACTTTTTTTTTATGAATAATTTTCCCTCCACTTTTGTCTCTCCTGTATCTTCTTTCTTATTTCTCTCATCATGTTTTTCTCTCTTTTTCCCTCTTCTAATTTTCACTCTCATTTTCTATCTCATAGATTCTCTCTCCTATCTTTCCTTCCTATTCCTCTTTTTTATCTCACCTGGACTTTACAAATTCTCTCTATTTTCTCTCTCCTTTTCCTCTCCCTCTCTCTCTCTCTCTCTCTCTCTCTCCTGTCTTTCTACTTTCACCTCTCTCATATGTTCCACTCTCTCCTCATCCATTTCACTCTCCTCTCTTCTCTCTCTTATCTTATCTCTTCCCTTCATTTTTCTCTCTTCTCTCCCTCCTCTCTTATATTTTCTCTCTCCTCTCTCCAATGTTTCTCCCTCCTTTGTTTCTCTCTCCTATTGTCTCTCCTTCAAAATATGTCTTCTCTAGGTTGTGGCTTCTCTCTCCTTTATCTCCATTCTCTATCTAACTTGTTTTAATGAAGTCCAACTTTGACGTTTGGGTTGAACCAATTAGGCATTGTTGTCTAGGTGATGTCTAGGCGACAAGGTGCCCTTGGAGGCTCGCCTCGCCTAATCGCCAAGCAATTTTATACATTGTGTTATGAAATACTTTTATGTTCTTAATTTTTTAAGATTATAATTATAAAGTAGACATTATTAAACAAAAATATTCATTTCGTGTGTTTATATGGGAGAAGGTGAAATTAAAGGCAGAAGGGGGTTTGGGAATTGGTATTGTCAAGTTGAAAGTTTTGGCTTCGATTAGTAAATGGCTTTGGAGGTTCCCCAAAGAGAACGAGAGGTTATGGCACAAAGTTGTTGCAAGTATTCATGGCATGTCAAGCAATGGATGGGGTGTTGGTTGTCTTTGTAGAGTTACTCTGTCTGCTCCTTGGAAGGCTGTCCACAAAATTCTTCCTACTTCCTCAATCATGTCAGGTATGACTATGCTTCGGGTTCCCCCTAGGTGAGAACTTACCTTCACTTTTTGCTCTTTCCAGCCTTAAGGGTAGAAAAAAAAGGAACCGTAGAGAATCTAAATTTCCTAGTGTGTTTGAGTTGTTAGGTTTGTTGAATTCAATGGTCTTGGGAGAAGGTGGTTTGATTTTTAAGGTTTGGGGCCTTAATCCTGATGGTTTGTTCTCATGTAAGTCTTTCTTTAATTCCTTGGTAGCTGCCTCCCTTACTTTTTTTTTTTTTTATCAGTAACTGGAATTCATTAGATTAAAAGAATTTAGTTACAGCGTTCCAAAGAGAGATAAACAGGCTTAACTCTCTCCGGGAAGATAACAAAAAGGAAAAATTTACAGAACAGCCCAAAACATTTGATCCCTTCGCACCCCCTGCTTTGCCAAAGCATCAACAAATGCATTTGCTGTTCTCTTGACCCACTGAAACTTGATTTCCAGTCCTCTAGTTAGCCACTTAATCTCCCTCCTCTCATTAGCATATTTCCAAAGTCCACTACCTTCTTGTAACCAACTTAAGAC